GCCATGTAATGGTTGGCTGCAGAGAAATGAGCTGCAATCTGTACAAGATGAATTCACTTTTTTGCTGTCATGTCTTTAGAGATAAGAGTGCAATGTAATTGGGAGTTTTATATTTAGTGTTGCCTAATGGCTCTACTCTTACGCCATAGGGAACGAATCTCGAGAAAGATAAGATTGTACAGTAGTTTATGAGTAAGTTGAACGGACCAAAGTCAGTTGAAAAGGTATCACCGATAAAACTATCTACTATTCTCGTTCAGTATCGGACATAGTGAAGAATGGCAGGCAGTTTCTTGCCAGCAAATGGAGCATTATATTCAGAACAATATTTCTTTTTGTTGTCTGTCTAACATCTTCATGCATCGCTGCTTTGGGCAAATAACAAATATCAGTGTTTCCATATTTCGATAAATGATACGAGACGCGTCGATTAAATTAACTCTGCATTTTTCTGTACTAATCATTTCATTTTTAGCACATCATCAATATTTGAGAATTATTTCGGCTAGGCCAATAGCTGAAAATCAAGAGGTGAACGCTGCAGTTTGATTTATATGACAAAGAAATAGGTCAATCTGCTTTTCATCTGTATTCAATTGCATTTGGATCACGTTGCTCACATGGTTTCTTCTACTTTTAGATTGCGAATGGTGTCTAGACCTCTTCATTTTGGTACTAGGTTTCGGAATTCATGATACTTATGGATAACGGTCTCTGTTCTCTTTTTTCCGGATCGGAGCTATTTTCGTCTTTTCTGTTCACATCTTCAATCTGTCAGTATGAGTTTCATTATTTGAGACTTTTCAAATGCCTGTTGAAATGTTCTTGTATGTCGCCAAGAATACTATTTTATTATTCTGAGCATTCAGTACGAAATCGCTGCATTCAATAGTGTTTGTTTCTATGATATTGTGGATTATTTGTGCTTCCGAAAGGCTTTTCGTTGAATGCATCAATGGATTTACACAGTGTCTCTTTGTGGCTCCCAACATATCAGCAAGGAGAGTTGCTGTTTATTGGACATCAGATGCGATTGTTACATTGTATGATAATGTCAGTTGATTCTCCTTTTACCAAATTGACGTAAGACACATTCCAAGTACCATTTGTTGCTGATTACTGTCACCTTTTTACGTACGAGTGTGCTTGTAACGATTAATTTTTTGTAATTTAAGCATTTTGATGAGGAAATTATAGTCTCCTGTTGTGATTAGGATGTATAAAAAATCTCTGTCGTCTCGAATATACTGAAGAACTAAAAATAGAGAGGCAAGGAACGTTGCCGCTTCGTCAAAGTAGCTGCATTATTCGTTTATAAAGGTTTCTCTAACCAATATTATTAATTCTTTCATTTCTTTTGAAATACTCATTGTTTATTTGCTCATTTGAAAGCTAAATGTTAAGCAAATTACATCTGCTACAAGCATATCAAGTTAACAAATTTATTTTTAAGTCTTAGCCTGCTAAACAGGATTTATTTTTATGTATGAAAGAAGGACAGATACGAAATGATGTTTCGATTTAAACGACTGTTAGGTAATAATTGATGTCTACTTGTATACACTCTATAACATTTCTAACCTACATTGCTGAATTCAAGCATAGCTTCTGGTTGCACACTTGGTATTAGCTATGAATCGTCATAAGTAAACAATTTAGTATGTTGTTGCTCAAGTAGAGTTGTATCTCATCGAAACAAAAATAGGTATGAAGAGTATGTGCTACTTTGTGTTGTTTCCTTTCTCTCTTTTTCTGATCTAACAACAAGCTATTATTAACGCATGTCACTATCACATACAAGCAAAAGACGTGAAAATTGAAATGAACATCATATCTCATTATCATAGTTTTTGCTTTCATTTATATCAACACCAAATGTTTTTTTTAAGATTTGAAGGGTGATTGTTACATGAGCGGCTCATAAAACCAATTTTTTACGTATGAAATCCTGTTTGTACGTATCTTAACTTATTCAGGGCTTCACAATACACCTTGTCATTCTATTTATAATAAAAAGAGGACTGTTAAAAAGTAAAATTTCAGAAATAGTTGTTAAAAGTTCAACGTGAAATTGCAAATATGAGACGTGACCATTAGTTTGTTGTCGCTTGGTGGAACTGATTGTCGTTTCTCCTAGGTTGCTGTCATCTCTCACGCCTTCGGATATATAAAGATCTGTTTTACGCGTGATGAATTCATTTCGTCGATCAACACAATAGTAGTAACATCGATTCTTCTACTAGAATCTCTACTGAATACAATAAGTGCAATCATTTTCGAAACGCACGGGGTACTTAGGTTCCAGAATTTTTATTTAATTCTTTGTGATCAATAGTAAAGATGTTTGTCTCGATGTACTATGAGAATAGTACTACACTGTAAAAAAAGGGAATGCCTATATGAATCCTGGAAGGATATTGAACGAATGTCCATATGAATTCAACAGTGAATTTCCAGCTTTTTGAAAATAAGCAAATGATATTCTAGCTTCGATTTAACATAGGAAATAAAACCAAAATTCTTAAAATTAGAAAATCCAGCATTTTCAAAATATTCGAAATTCGATGAATAAATCATAAGACTTATAAAATCCTTTAGCTTACTCAATATCGATTTTCTTCAAAATAGAATTTAAAAAAAAATTACAGTGTACTAGATTGGTAGACGGATCTTAAGCGATTGCGATGGCCAACGGCCGCTTTAGTACTATATGATGACTTCTCTTCGGGCCAATTTTTTTCAGTGAATTAAGTTCCTTGTTAAAAGACATTTATTCGCATCTTCCTATAGATTCAGATAGTTTTGCGTAAGGTCACTGCGACTGTCTGAATTTGCTGTCCCATCGGTCGCAGCGGAATCAATGAATGACTTGATTGTCTCCGTTTGTGTTGCAGTGCATGAAATAATTTGTTAAAAAAACAGCGGTTTAAGGTCAAATTAAGTTTTCTTACTTAGGTCTTCATTTTGGAATTGTGTATTTCTTTTGCTTTCCGTTGAACTATTATTCTTTTCATTTTTATATAATGTGGTTTGGTGAAAAAATTCTTTACTCTTTCTTCGATCTATGTGCTAAGGGAAGACTGACAAACTCCATTTCAATTCAAGAATATATCAGTTCCTTTACTGAGAATTTTTCTTCGATTACCACGTTTCTCAGTATTCTTATATGATGAACCTCTGGCAGATAGACTTGCTTGATATGTTTTCATTTCTTGGTGAGGTTGATGATTCAACATAGGATTTTGAACGCATGCCTTTTTGTTCTTTTCACTTACCGAATTCAATTCTATTGTCACAGTTGTCAGGGATGAAGTCTGGTTTTCGTTGTATAACTATGATATATAACTACACAGATACAAAATGTTTTGCTATAGTATGTACATTTCTCTTAGTTTATTTACATATATTCAATGACTTGTGAAAAAAATTTGAACATATTTTGTAAATTTTAAATTGACTTTTTTTCATTTCATATCGTACTGTTCTACGATATATACAGATCAGTAACTTTATCACATTAGTATAAAAAATGGTAAACGATATGACAGATTTAATTCATAAATTTCATCGGCTTATTCACGAAAAATAGTATGATACAAATGAGATAAGTTTATTAAAGGGGATGATTTCTCTTGACGAGAAACGCTTGTGGTAAAAATTTCACCCTGATATGCTTGACTAGATTGAAGTTTCGGCTTGTTTTCCTAACTCCTAGGAGAATCAAAATAACCTCTCGTTAGAAAGGGCGCAGAGTTCAGGCTGGTTTCAAATTGTAGCTAGCCTCTGTACGCAACTTTTCATCGGACGGAATTTTGAAACTGCCTTCCATTTATTTTTTATGAGCAATTTTGTGGATATGCTTGCAAAATAAGCATAAAAAAATGCTACTCTACGACAGTAGACCCTACTATTCTCAGCCCTGGGATTCAGTATCAAAAATCCGTCCGATAAAAAGTTAGCTCTGTTTAAGATCTTTAAAAAAAACATCGGTTATATGCCGAGTCAAGTGAAAGTTATTTCAATTTTCCTGTCTAGAAACCGTATTTTGAGAAAAATGCTAAAGAAGTTTTAGAAATGGATTTTTTCATTTTAAATCCAGAACAAATTATATTACAATGGTATATTCCAGTGAACCGTTTTAAAGGAAGTAATAGATGAGGGTAGCTAACACCATCTATCATACTGATTAATATAAAAATATTTTATTCAATGAAAATGCGAGTGGGAACGTAATTTTTCTGCAACTGAAAACCTTTAGAAACCACGGAAATTTGTCGCAAAACATGGTAGTAGATTTAAAGTTTCATGTGAAAGGCGTTTGAAAATCTGATCACTTTCCACAAAACTATACATATTCTGAGGAGAAGGAAACTTCGATGCATCTTCCTGTACTAGAAACTTAACTTCGATATTTTCCGGAGAAGCTCGATTTTCTAAGGGGGAGAGGGGGCTTTTAAATGAAACTGGAAATGAACCACCAGGGCAACATATCGGTGAAGGTGATGTTAACTTAATACTTCTATCTTCCTCTGTAGGGCAACCAGAAACGTATTCCAGTTAATGAACGAACCATAGATGATCAATATTTTTAACGAGAAGTTAAGAATGCTGGTGGTATGTTACTGGATATACTCAGTAGTAATGCAATTTATTGGTGTAAAAAAAGTGAAATGGATGACAAAGTATTTCAACATATGACACGAACTGGTACTTATTTATTAATTCAAGAATTGAATGCAACAGTTTTGAATAGTGTTCAAAGACATTTAAGCAAAATAGTCGAAGAACTTACTTTATTACTAAATGACTTACGTGAACGTCAGTGTCTGACTGATATACAAGTTCAACAAATGACTGTTCAGTGATCAATGATTCAAATCGATTATCTATAATTTTTACCGGATGCACATCAAGTAAGTATTCTTTTTTGTTTTCATTGTATTCTTTTGAGAAAATGTGTTTATTTCTGTATATAAAGTGCTATACCATTTCAACCTGTCATGGTGTGTTGCTTAGGACTCACTATTGGTATATCTCGTTACATCAGCCGTCTTCTTCAACCTATCTATGATCAAGCGACTCGTTCAACAACATTTTTCAAAGCTAGTAATGCTGTACATGCGCTAGAAAACTATGCCAAAGAAGTTCGTTTACAATCAAATACATTATTTGCTGCTATACACGTCAATGATTTATGTACACTTATACCTCATGAGCAATTGACGGAACCATTACAGCATTTTCTCTATGATTATGTACCAGATGGGCAAGTGCAAGGATTAACTGTTGATACTATTATTGAGTTAGTTCGTTTTGTTTTACAAAATCAATACTTTATTTTCGATAACAAAATTTGTCGACAAATTAAAGGTTGTGGTTCTGGTCAACCGCTCAATCATCTATTAGCAAATATTTATATGTTCTATTGGCAACAAGATTTAGTTGAAACATTAGTTAATTAAAATGAAATATTTGGCCAATATCTTAATGAAATGTTTTTTACTTGAAATAAATCAAAATGAGAACTTCAATCACTTCTTACGAGAATGGTTCGTCAAAAAAATCCTTATTTATCAATAGCAATTTGAATTGGAAAAAATGTCGCCTATCTCTATGTTCAAATAAGTTATATCAATAGTCAACTTCGAACTATAATTAATCACGATAATGATCTTGAACCACGTGGATTATCTTTTATATCGGATCATCCACCTTTAATGTATTCAACATTAATTCAAGCATGTCTTATATGTGCAGCATTAATTCGCTCCAAAGTATCTGATTTTCACAATGAACGCTATGATGTTCAAATAGTATTTTTAAATAACGGCTATTCAATGGATTTTATAAAAGAACACGCTGAGTAATTGTTTCAAGATTTTCATATTTCCAATTGGAAATCAAATTTAAATCAAAATACCTATGATAAAACGCGTGAAGAAATTATCGAGTATGATCAACAACATGAAGAAGTGAAAATAAAACAACGATGAAAACAACAAAGAGAACAACTATGCTACATTACATCTGATTTAAATGGAGAAGAGCTATACAATTTTCAACAAAATATTAAAACTTTTTCGGAAGACTACTTGAAAAATCAACCACAATTCAATAATATAAACATTGAAGTCATTCATCGACCAAAATATCGACGGAACACAAAATGGCTGTCTATAGTTATGAAATTCAGAGATTTTTTTGTTTCTTTTGTTATACATTGCGTAGGTGGTTTTTTTTGTAAACTTTATTAAAACTAGATATCCCATAATTGTTGACTCCTACTTTTTCGAGATTGAATGTTTCCTCTTTGCATTTTAGATATTTAGTGTTCTGTATAAATGAATTATATTGAAACAAACAAAACAATTACAACAACGACATCAATTTTAAAAACACCAAGTGAAAATGCTCAAGGTCACTAGTATGAATTACTTTCTCCAACGCAAGTGTTGACTGGACAACAGCAAAAACAGGAACCAGTTCAACCACAGAAAGGCGAAGAGGTGAAACGCAAGAAAAAAAGCCGCGGTAATCGAAAAGCACAACGTCGATGTGGACGACGTCGTCGAAAAGGTTTAGATCTAGATAGACACACTGATTTAATTCAGTGAAATGTGAACCTTCATGAAAAGCAGAAACAAATGAAAGAAGATGCTAATGATTATATACAGGTCAATGTACCAGTCGATCAAGTAATATCTACCTTTCTTATTAGTAAAGGAATCAATCAAACGTAAAAGAAATAAAATATCATCAAAACAATCACTAAATACAATTGATAAGTCTTTAAGTCAATTATCTATTTCTCAATCATCACGAAAAAAAAAACAAAAGATGGCCAATCATGAAATTGAACAAATAACTACAAATGGAACATCAGACAACAAACGTTCAAAACCTAAAAGAGAAATTAATCATAATAATGACTATTCTTATATATCTGATTATTTACAAGTAACCAATCGTATATTTAAACAAATGCTAATCAGTTCATTAGAAGGTGCTGATAAAATTGTTAAACGATAAATACAAGTGAAAAAATTAACTATATTCGTCAATATGCTTGTTTAATACATCATCTATTCTATGTACAATTACGAAAAAGTCAATGGAAGTATTATTATGATATTGGTATGCAAGAAAATATTTTGCCCGGTCGCGTATCAGAAAAATGGGCTACTACGAATAGTGTGCATCATTTATATGGTCGCTCAAAAACTGTAATCGTACAACGTCTAACAACTCTTCAACAACAACTTCAAGAAGCATCACAAGCATTACAAGAGTTTGGCAATCCATCATTACCTCAATGTCTATCTGAAATGAATCATCCATTAGATATTACAACAATGTCAGCAATGATTACAGCTGTTGTCGGAAAAGGTCAACATAAATTAAAGCAACAATTTGAATATAATAAAAAAATGTTAAAATTAGACTCAACGGATCATCGTTCCGTACAATATGTTTATGATTTGAAACCTAATAAACAACAAATTCGTTCTATTCGTAATATATGAAAAGCAATTTATAATAAAAAAGCTTGTTAGCACAACTCTTTTGGAGCTGAAATGTGGAACTTTCGTATATCCTTCAAACCTATTATGCTAATGCATTATTTGTAAACTAAAACATAGCTGTTTTCAAATAATTCCGAAAGCATTGAAATATTGTATACAATCTGAAGCCGTTTGTGTGCGGTTACTAGGTCTGTAATGAGGGGTATGTCTGTAATGTTCTCTTCCGTTGTTATGTGTCTGTAATGGGATGGGGGAGGGGGAGTGAGAGCAGGAAAACCTTGACCTTAACACTTACATCCACTATTTTCTTCGAAAATATACGTGAGTTCCACAAAACAAATGAAAGAACAAATTGAGATATTAAAACATCGCATCCATTCGAATTGTTTACCACCAGCATTCAATCTTCTTGATTATTCACTTAATAAAATTGATCAAACAGTTAGCCGATCGAAACAATCTTCTACTAACTATGATGATAACAAGCAACCAACAATATTATCTGCTCGTCGTTTAAAAAAAAATTGGCCGATATAAATATCATATGCTTGAATTAAATATAGCAGCTGGTGAAGAAAAGTATGCTATTGAAATAAAATAGCGAAAAATGGAAAAAAGAAATTGGTAACTATTACCGATAAATTAAAGATAAACAATTCAGATTCAGATATATTCAAACAACTAATGGTAGCTATTGAAGCACGTGAAAACATGATCGAACCAGCTGATTATATTACATGACAAAAATTGAAATCTTTTTTCGACGAAACTCCAGCGTCACAGGACGATACAACGAACAATGATGGCGTCGGAGCAAATGAAAATTAAATATTCGAAACCATACGAATATGTTTCTTTGTTTATATTTTGCCAATACTACTATAACATTATCGAGTGAACAATTGCTTATTCCCATGTAAACACTAAACGCAGAAATTATGCGTTTAAACGCGTTTTTCTTGTGAAACCCGACTGGACTCAGTCAAAAGACAACAAAAACCATGTCTACACGCGATTTTGCACAGACCGCATCTAAACACGACTGGACTAAGACTTCAAACACATCTTAACGTGTTTTGGTTTGGAATCGCGTCTCTAGTGAAACATTTCTTGCGTCTAGACGTGGTTTTACTTGCAACCGCGCCTAGACGCATTCCATTGCTTCGATCAATATACAAACGAAACGCAATTGTGCAACTCGTTTATAGGAAAAACTTTATAAAAGATTCGTTTTCTATTCACTAGAAAATATATATCAGTTTTTTTATAAAATTAATTTAGTTTGAAGTATATAGAGTTCTCAAAAAGTTTAGAGTTCTTTTTCTCAAGAAAGACAGAATGTATATATTTTTTATTAAAATATAATGGGCACATAAATCCTAAAACATGGGTACTCTAAAATTAAAAATGATGAAATTTTAGAAATAATATAAACGAATAGTTTCCATAGTTAGATATTTTTAAAATTATGTAGTTGGATTTATCTAATGCAAACTCTTTTTTTGGATAAATAAGTATATTTTTATACACAGCACCTCATTGACATATGTATCTATGAATAAGTTTATAATAGACGATGTATATGGATGAATTGCAACTTTATTGTACCGTTCGTAGTTCCATATGTAAAACTTTAATAACTTCAGTTCCTCTTGGCCAATCTGTATGAAAATTTCGGAGTATGCTGCCGTAGTTGATGCTCACTACCACACAAAAAATCACGAATTTATCATTAGCCTATCCCGAGATACTACATACACAAGGTTAAAATGGCTGATTTCTACTGCCACCTATGGACAGAAAATGACCCATCACTAATTGGTTTCTTGTCATTTGAATTTTGACAGTTTTTGACATTTACAGTGGACAGTGTATACATCATGGATATGAGACTGGCTAGTTCTTTCATCGCAGTTTATGTTATATTTTTTTCCGAATATCAGGTGTACCGTCAATGGTCAATATGGTGTCACACGAGATTTAAAAACGCCTTTGCTATATAACAAAGCATTCAAAATTTGTCGGATTGGTTTTGAATGAAAGCTTATCAGTGGGGAATAAAACTACCAAAGATGATTCGAAAGTTTTACTTATTCTTATTAAGAAAGGGACATTAAATAAAATTTGAAAATATAGTTGTCACACTAAATGTCACACGAGATTTCATATTTTGTGTGTCGTATTAACTCTTGTAAATTAAGGCATATTGAGCTGAAATTTTTATCATTTTATTTGTTAGTTGTGGCCAGATATTGCTGAAAATATCACGGTTAGAAAATGCTCCTTTCGCATAATAGAGAGGAAAATAGTATAAAAATGTCACACGAGATTGTTGGCAAACTGTCACACGAGATTTTTTCAAAAAAGTGCCAGATGAGATTTTTATGTGGATAACTATCCAGTAACTGAGATTAAGGTGAATAAAGGGCATATTAGTCGCTTTCATGTTTAAGTGACTATCACTACTCACGCGAACTAATTCTAACACATTCCTCACGAGTTAATAAATTTGCTGTGAAAGATGCGTATACACGATCTATACTCAATTTAACAGTGGTAGTCGGGAAAATTTATTCATATCCATCTCTCATATAGTGTAGTAAGATGCACTACTCCCAATCTCTAAAATCGGAAATTTTTTTTTCATCGATTTTTTTCTCAAAACGGTACAATAAAGTTGCAATTCATCCATATATAGATTCTGCTCGTTCTACAACTAATGTGATCACATGTGGCTCAATGGTATGTACACTTGCTTTCTAATCGCTAGTTTACTTGTTCTAATCTCATTTCTATCATTTTAGAAACATTAAAATTTAAACTCTCCGTTAGCCTGTAGTTAAGTAAAGACGACCGCTAGGCAATATTGATAGCGAATCAGATCAAACCTGAGACGGATTGTAATACATTTTATAAATTTGAAATAGAGGCATTTCTTATATCGACAACTTATGAAAAAAATTATTGAACGAGCATACAATCACCTCTATAATGAAAATGTTAAAAATCTTACCGATTAGATGTTTTCAACACGTGATACACGTGCTATTGAATATTTTGCTGTAATAAAAAATTTACTTCAACAGCTATATACGAAACCAATACTAAAAAACTTGAAAGGCATGCTCAATATATGTACAAGATGATAAAATCAATGCAACGACAATTATGCAAAGCTTATATTGCTGTCTGACAAACTGATAAAAGCAAATTATTTTTCTTTATTGATTCACATGAATATGAAGAAAACATTAAAAATCATATGACAAAACCAAACGCATATCAAGAAATCACCAGTAGCGTTTATCCATTAGCAGATGATTTACATTCTGTATTAACTTTACTTGATGATCTATTAAAGCGTAAAAAAATAACGAAAGATCAATATTAACAAATATATACAAATCTAAATACATTAGAATTTGCTCATATTTATTTCAATCTTAGAGTACATAAGGTAAAATCGTTAGTTTGTTATCTAAATATTTTTTCTATCATACGTTTCTTGTGGCCTGAACTATCAGTTTGACCTATTCTTGCTTCAATTAATGCATCTGCTAGACAAATATCCAGTTTTCTTGATCAACTTCTTACTCCAATTTATAATCATGTGACAAAAGATATTACATTCATCAATGGTATAGATCTCACCTGAACAACATTATCTATAACTTTTCATGTTGCTGATTTATACACAATGATACTACATGATGGCCCTATTGCTGCTTTAAAGCGATTCTGTAAAAACTATTCAATAAATGGAAACATTGGAAATCTCAAAATATAAACTATGATTCAATTAGCATGTGTTGTTTTAGATACCAATTCATTGGATTATAAAGATAAGTATTATCGGCAAATTAAAGCGTATGATGCCTTATTTGAATTTCCTGTAGCTTGTATCATTTTTTGTTGATGGATATAGAGGAGGTATAGGAGATATTGGAGTCATTGATTAATTGGTACAGATGATCATTCGATAGTATTTGAATTTAAACATCTATTCATAAAATATATTGGTGTCATTTGCCAATCCTTGCTCGAAAAACTCAATTCCTATACCTCCTATATCTTGATAAACAGGAAACTATAGGAATGTCCGGAAATTCAAATAAGGTATATAATCAATTAAACGTGGTGCCATGGGTTCACCATTTACTATGGTTTTAGCAAATATTTATATGTTAGAATGGGAGCAAAAATTAATTCAACACCAAAATAGACATCATGAAATTTATGGACGGTTAATTTTGCATTTATTAGTTACTTTTTTTTACTCTAATAATCATAAATATTTATGGATATATTGACGACATATTTATGACAACCAATATATCCAAAGAAGATATTCTGAAAGAACTTGATGAAACCACTAAAACAGATTCAAGTGTTAAAATTACTACTACTATCAGTCAATCATTAGAATATCTTGATGTTACTATTGAAAATAATAATGGACATTTAAAGATATCTATTTATCATAAATCAGCTTCAGAACCCTATATTCTACCTTATGAATCTGATCATCCAAGACACATTCATGCGAATATAATTTATATTGCATTAGTGCGAGCTGCACGTAACTGTTCCAATGTGGAAGATTTTGATATAGACCGATTAAGTACAGAAATGATATTACTAGTTAACGATTATCCACCAAAATTTATACAACATCATATTGAAAAATTCGTTGTTAAATATGATTCTATGAGTGTATGGGCTGAATTAAACAGGGAAGTCAATCAACAACTACATAATATGTTACTTTACAGACCAACAAAAAGAGAAAACAAAACATAAATCTCGAGTCTTTGTCAATTAATTCGAAAAACGAAAAACTATGAACATAAAGATCAAATTTATCTTCATTACATGTTCGAAAATGGACCATTATTAAATTTCAAAAAAGAATATCATCAAATATGGCAAAAGTTCTGTTTATCCATGATCACATTTCAAAAATACACGACCAATTCTTGGTACAATATTAAATCGTACTTTACAAAGTCTTTTTTTATACGCAGATAGCCTCCACAAGATATGTTGACCAGGATGCAACTAACCACAGAAGCAGCTCGTACAACAATGAAATAACGGTTTAATCATTAACATTTGTTTCTTTCAGGCATCCCAATTGTGAAGAGTGTTTCCTTCCTGTTTGTTCGCTTCTTTCTCAATTTTGTTCTCAATAGAGAATATTCTGCTATTATCATTAGATCTTGTTACTAGATAAACATTGGTTTTTTCTTCCTGTTTATTTTTCTGTTACATACGTGCAACATGTCGAATACAACCATTTATTACATTTTTCATTATTTAAGCTCAGATATTTGACCAATGAACATGTGAACCATTACCATTTTCTAGTTCATGTTTCGTTATTTTTCCTTTTTCTTTCTTTCATTTGATATATGTTCGCTTTGAAACCAGACGTATTTCATACTTTCATATATTCTAGATATATACTAATCAACACAATATCTACAAACAATAATCGCAAACACGTAATAGCAATATATAAGCAATCACTGTAAGCAAATCATAGTTATGATAAAACTGATGAGTGGCCCTTAAGCAAGACTGACACGCGTCGTAAGGATGCTTGACAATCTAAAAATTCAATTTTATACACAACCACAATGAACCAGATTATACAAAAAAATACCGATGCCCCATACAAACAATTTTTTCCTTATTCGCCAAGCCGCACAGAAACACGTTAACAGTCAAATATAATTTCCTTTATGTCTCGAAAAAAACTATAAAAGCTAATTGTAGATTATCTCTCGTTTCTACGATCTTAATATCACTCGAAAAGAAACTCTTGTCTAATCATATGATGAGAGCATTAAGCAAGAGCGAAACACATCATCGTGTGCTTGGCATATCCATGTCATACATCTGACGAGATTCTTTGTCAAATTTAGACGTATTGTCATAGCTTCACTTGATATTTCTTATCATGATGCAAAATGTTTTAATTCTCAACGTATACTCACACACAAAAACAGTTAGAAGAAATATTAGTAGTGCTAAGTAGAAGTTAGGAATAATGAATCAATGAAAAAAAATGCTTAAACCAGCAATGGTAATATTAACAGGTCTGTAAAAAAATGTTTAAATTTTCAGCACCTTCGTTGGCGACGACGAAATC